GGAGGAGAGGGAGAAGAGGGAGGGGGAGAGGGAGAGGGAGAAGGAGAGGGAGGAGGAGAGGGAGAAGAGGGAGGAGGAGAGGGAGAGAAAGGAGAGAAGAAGGAGAGGGAGAAGGAGGGAGAGAGAGAGAGAGAGAGAAAGAGAAAGAAGAAGAAGGAGAAAGAAGAAGAAAGAGAAAGAAGAAGAAAGAGAAAGAAAAGAGAAAAGAAGAAGAAAGAGAAAGAAGAAGAAAGAGAAAGAGAGAGAGAGGATACATTTTGGGTTTAATAAAGATTTGCGCTAATATCATGTGACTTAAAAATCTGCAACTTCCGCCATTTCAAGAAATATATGACTCTTGTTTTCAAGCCTAAAACGTGGATTACAATGCGTGCAAAAAAACCCACAAGAACCGCCTTGGCAGCAAATGGTATTTCCGTAATGCTGACTCCCAATTACCATTCAGATCTCAAGCGCAGGGAGAAGAAGTGTGCTCCACCTTTTATCCTCTTATGTGATCATGTGATCGGGAGCCACTCCCATCAGCTCCCAAACAAACAGTGACCAGGAGCTGGGGGTGACCGCTCAGTCACAGTACTGGTGATGTAGAGTGAGCGTGCTGCCAGAACAAAATAGCGGCGCTGGCTGCACGCACATCTGTGGCGGCAAAGTGTTAAAACCCACCACCATGCTGCCACGTGTTAAACAGGGCACTAACATACTGAGATGGAGGGCACCATTAGGACTGCCTCATAAGATCTCATTCATCTGGTTAGTGCGCACCCTCCTAGTGGAACTGCATTGTCTCTATATCTTCATATGTGCTGATAAGTGAGAAAAGGGTCTCTTACCAAGGGGGGATGCGGGGAACCCCCTCAAGCTGCTGCAGGTTGAAGGCATGTTTGGACACCTGTCTAACCTCTCCATCCCATGCCTGGATTTCCTGTTTACGGGAGGCCGAGTCTGCAGCCATGATGGCATCTATGGCCGTGGAAACCTGGAAAGGATGGGAAGTCAGGAATATGTCAGCGGAGATGTAGACGACGGGAGTTCTGTAACATATGAATGTAATTAGCTAAAACAAAAAAGCGTACAGGTTTGACGAGCAGACACCCGGGAGGTGCTCATTTACCTGCAGCAGCTCCCTGTACCTCCACTCAACCAATAATGGACCGTTTTGATTGGGCAAGGCAACTTTAACATTTCCTGGCAGTGTCAGAGCTTGCCCGGCCTCCCCGGTAGGAATCAGAGGGCAGCAGAGCTTCAGCAATAGCAGGAAGTACAGCAGGAACACTAACATTTGCAGGTGCACTTGAAAAATATATACCTTGGGTGGTCCTTAGAACAGGAATAGATGGGAAATCTTCCCATGGGGACAACCATTTTGCTAACCACCAGGCATTTCCCTCACATAGGAGGTTTTTCCTCTCACTTCCTGTTGGGTGTATTGGACAGGAAGTGAAGATAAATCTCCCAACAAGGATATAAAACATAACAGTTACTGCAGTTCCACAGTAATTTAAGATAATTCAAAGCCGATTGATCATTCAGTTGAAATCTAGTCTAAAGTTAGATAGCACACGGTGGGAAGATCTACAAATCTCAGTATGTGTAATACAAATACAGTACAGCATTGTACAAGAATTGTGGAACTTAGTGTATAACAAACCTGTCACCCCTTTAAAACGTAGTCCACCAGATGCTGGCTATTATGTTAATTAGGCCAGAAAGCCTCTTTTGTGTGCCCCTCTAAAAACTTTTCCACGCCCTTTGGGACTAAGCCCTGCCCACCATCAAGGTAGTCTCTAGACCACGTGTAGCCAAACGTCTGCCTTCGAGCCGTAGTCAACCTACAAATCCCATCTTGCCTCTAGGAGTCATGCCTGTGGCTGTCAAAGAGTCTTTCAGTGCCTTTTGGGACTTCTAGTTCTACAACAGCTGGGGTGCCAAAGTTTGGCTACCCTGCTCTAGACATTAAGAGGCATTCACATTGGGGGGGGGGTTGAGGGATTTTCTGCAGGGATGCACCGATACCAGTATCGATCCCGGGCATTTTCATGAGAACTCGTACGCGTGAAAATGGCCCGATACCAATACCGGCACTTTACATTTTTAAATTGAAGCAGCTGCCTTAGGTCCCAAGAGTGCTGGGGACCTCACAGCAGCCTTCTTGGGAACCACGTGGAGCCTGTTTACAGCACATTTCCCACCCGATGCCCTCTACACCCCTCCTGAGACCCTCTGCCCGAGACACCAGGCCGGTACCCCGTAGCAGAGCGGCAGCACAGAATGTAGCAGATTCATATACAATTATTCTGCATTGCTGTATAATGTATTGCTGGGATTTGAAGCCCTCTATAGCTGGTGGTTATCTGCATTGCTGTATAATGTATTCCTGAGATCTGTAGCCCCACTACAGCTTTGGGTCAGTGGTAGAACTACCAGGGTTGCAGCAGTTGCAGCTGTGACTGGGCCCTGGCGCTTCACCACTGTCCTAAAATCCTTAGTCTGTATTGTTTTTTGAAAAACTGTCACATGACACTAAAAAAAAAAAAAAAGTATTGGTAATTGGTATCGGAGAGTACTTAAGAAAAAGTATTGGTGAATCCCTAGTTTTCTGACCCATAAAAGTAGCAGCAAAGATCTGGTCCCTGGCTCGCAGGTTCATTGTAAATGTAAACATTAGGAAATAGCAAAGAAATATGTACTTACTCCACACATGCTATAGCTTCCCCTTAAAATAACGAAACAAACTTCACTCATCTCATCCCTGTGTCACTATATTAATATGTGAAAGGGAATGCCCCCCCCCGCCCCAGCCCACACACACACCTCGCGTTACCCACCCGGTCCCTGACCATCTCCGGGAGTGCTGACAGTTCATCCCTCTGGATCTCCAAGAACTCGGGCAGGATGACCAGCTTCACCTCTTCGTCAAATTCGTAAAGCTCGTCGTTAATATCAAATCCACCCTCCATCCCTAAACGAGACACAGAGAAAAGGGGAGTCACATGACCACCACAGGATAGAAGGAAAAAAATAAAAAAACAAAAAGTCCACAACAGCTGGAGTCCCGAGGTTGCCTGCCCTTGATTTAGCCCAGAGCCTAGATCATCCGGGACCCACCCCCAGCCTGTAACTGGACAGTGAAATGAGAAGCAGCACAGTGATGAGCTCATCGCTCTGTCACTCTGCTCTCTCCTCGGCATGTTTCTTGTCAGCACATGAAGCAATTGTGATGTTTCTTCCCTACTGTACAGGGACTGCGAGAGGTTGATAGCGGGTCAAATCCAGGTACTTACACGGCTTACATTAAAAGGGTAATTCCATTGTTTACAAAATGTGAGAAGATGAACTAACCCTGAGCATTCCGCCACCTGGCAACCCCACATTTTCATACATTTAAACGGCACGCAGACACCCCAACCCCACCCCCCAGTCCATACACTGCACTACAGCCCCGCACCGAGGATGCAGCATAACACTCGTAAATGGCGAGCGCTCATTGCTCACATGCCTGATGAAGGGACCCTGAGTGGCCCCGAAATGTTGCTATGTGACAAGATGTGTGTGCATCAATAAAACGATCGCTTCTTAAAGATTTGCCCGCGGTGCGCTGGTGACATACTTTACTACTTGAAGCGACGCCATCCGTAGTCACTACAGCACCTACTGCAAGGGACGTACTAGTAAGGAGTGCGGTAGGACTCTCCTGCATTGGTCACATGACCACACTGATCATTGAGAAGCGCTTCTTACTTCCAGGATCTGGCCCCAGGCTCAGAAGCGTTTCTTATTGGTCAGCGAGGCCTTGTGACTGTGCTGACCAATGAGCACTTGCCATGTGCGAGTGTTATGCTGCATCCTAAGTGCAGGGCTGCAGTGTACGGTCCCGTACATTGGCTAGCGGCATGCAGATAAAAATGTATAAATAGCGGGCTCCACCCAGAGCAGAGCACACAGGGTCCCTTTAATGCCTTCTTCCCCAACTTCTCCGTTCACGTTCCAGTGACACGTACCTAAGAGTGGATTTCCCCTCATCACTTCCTCTGCATATATTTCCTCTCACTTAGTATTGTGATTACCAGACAGGAAGTGAAGGGAAATCTCTCGAAAGTGATACAGATACAAAAACATACCTTACTCCATCTACAATATGTAAAAAAATGGCATTAGATATACAGGTCAGAGATGGGAAATCATACCTATAGCAAGGCGGGTCGGTTTCTTGCGAGGGGGATCTCCGGTGGTAGAACTAGAGTCCTCTGTTTTCTGTAACAAAGAATCATCAGTAATTGTAAGGATCAGCATGCAGAGCTACATGTTGCTGTGAAAGGGGGGTAAAGGTCCAGTTGAAGAGCAAACCTTTGGCCACCACCTAGAAGAGCTGCCTACTGGTACCCAGTCCCTCTACACAACTTGAGACCTGACATGAAATACCCATGGCACTATAAGATCCTGCATTGAGCATCTTTGTTCTGTATGGTGGCAGCCATCTTGGAGGAGGCAGCGCTTTCCTTCTTCTTGTCAGAGCCTCAAGCAAAGAGAACAATGAGCAGCACAAGTGGTCAGTCATAGGGAGCAGTGCCCGAGATCTGACACTGCAGGTATACAGCTATGAGGGCGAAGGTGCAGGAAGTACAGGGCAGGGTTCTGCTTAGGCCCAATCACCGTTTCTACATGATCCCTATAACATAGCCCAGGTCCAGTGTAACACATATTTCTTACAGCTCTGCTTGTCTGTGTCCAACCACCTGAAGACAGCTGCATATAACTGGTCTATGAATAGGGCCGTGTCCTGTACAATCCCTAAAAGAATCATTTCAAGATGACACGTTTTCTTTAATGCACAAAGCCGCTTCTACATGAGAGAGCACCCGAGCATGCTTACCGGTTTGAGGGTTCTCTTGAGGTTCAGGTAGGCCCTCTGCCCGGTTTTGTTGTAGTGCCGTTCTACATTAGAACTACCGAATCCTAGGAAAGTGTTCATGCAAATGTACAGGCCGCCATCCGATTCCTACAACACAGGACACGAGAGTCAGGAACTTCACAGAGAACGGGGTATTTCTGAGGGAAGAAGGGTTATAGCTAGGGTTGGATACTGGAACCAAACCCCTCAGTCCCTCTACTGGAACCAAACCCCTCAGTCCCTCTACTGGAACCAAACCCCTCTGTCCCTCTATTGCGGTGTAGGCAACCTTGGAACTCTAGCTGTTGTGGAAATACAAGTCCCATGAGGCATTGCAAGACTCTGACACCCACAGGCATGACTCCCAGAGGCATGATGGGTTGGCTGGGGTGCTGAGGTTTCCTACACCTGGTATAGAGTATAGAAGGGATTAAATCAGACAGGCTGTGTCTCATTGCGGAGATTTCCCTTCACTTCCTGTCCTATAGCTATAGCAGGAAGTGGCGATTCTCTATGAGGACAGTTGTCACATTATTCTGGTGCCAACTCAAAATTTTGGGATGTTCACATTCATTTCAGTTCCTGTGATAATAGTTACTATGACAAAGAGTGAATCTACCTAGGGGGACAAAGACACCATACAAACTTACCTGGGTTACTAACACTTTCCTACTCCAATAAAAAAAAAAAAAGCTTTAGCTTTACATATTATTAGGCAAGTGAGTATTTTGACCAAATCACTATTTTTTGCATATCGTCCTAACTCCAAGCTGAATAAACTTGAAGGTTTACTGGATGTCAGCATATCAGGTGATGTGTATTTGTGTCATTAAGGAGGGTGTGGCCTAAGGAGATCAACACCCAATATCAAGGTGCGCATAATAATTACGCAGCTACTTTTCCTCAGGCAAAATGGGTCAAAAAAGAGATTAAACTGACTATGAAAAGTCAGAAATTGTAAAAGGTCTTTCAGAGGGATGCAGCACTCTGAGATATTGAGGCGTGATCACAGAACCATCAAACGTTTTGTTGCAAATAGTCAACAGGGTCGTAGGAAACGTGCTGAGAAAGAAAGACGCAAATTAACCGCCAAAGATTTGAGAAGAATCAAACGTGAAGCTCCCAGGAACCCGTTATCCTCCAGTGCTGTCATATTCCAGAACTGCAACCTACCTGGGGTACCCATAAGTACAAGGTGTTCAGTGCCCAGAGACATGGCCGAGGTAAGGAGGGCCGAAACCCGACCAACACTGAACAAACGTCAAGACTGGGCCAAGAAATATCTGAAGACGGATCTTACAAAGGTTTTATGGACTGATGAGGTGAGAGTGACTCTTGACGGACCAGATGGATGGGCCCGTGGCTGGATCAGTAACGGGCACAGAGCTCCACTTCGACTCAGACGCCAGCAAGGTGGAGGTGGGGTACTGGTGGGCTGGTATTAATAAAGATGAGCTAGTTGGACCTTTTCAGGTTGAAAATGGACTCAAAATCAACTCCCAAACCTACTGCCAGGTTTTTAGAAGACACTTTCCCCAAGCCGTGGTCCAGGAAGAAGTCTGACCATGATATGTATGCAGGACAGTGCTTCATCGCATGCTTCGAAATACTCCACTGCCTGACTAGCCAGAAAAGGCCTTAAAGATGAAAGAATTAATGACATGGCCGCCTTCCTCACCTGAACTAAACCCTACTGAGAACTTGGTGGCCCTTCTTAAACGGGAGATTTACGGTCAAGGAAAACAGTGCACCTCTCTGAACAGGGGGGGTTGCTGCTGCACAAAAAGTTGATCGCCAACAGATGAAAAAGCCGACAGACTCCAAGGATGGGAGGCTGAGGACTGGTATTGGCTAAATTGGTCACTGCTTTTGTTTTTGGAAATGTCAGAAATGTTTATTTGTAAATTTTGAGTTGTTTGTTTCTTCTTCTCACTTTAACACATGAAAATAAACAAGTGAGATGGGAGGAACATTTTTGTTTTCCATTTAGTTGCATAATAATCCCGCACACTAATAGTTGCCCAATAATTGTGCACACCCAAATATTCTCCCAAGAAAGCCAAAACCTCACTCGTACTTTCTTCAATACAGATGTTCCTCACTTACCGACTTACCTGTTTTGCGACCACTCACACTTACGACGGACCGCCGATCGACCTCCGACCTCGCGCGTCAGCATCAGTGCGACGGGTCGCCGGCGGAAGCGACATCCCCCGATCTTCACTGCGGGTCCCGGTAAGTATTTCCATTGCCGGATGTACAGTACATCGGCAACGCTATACAGTACTGTCCTAATGCAGTACAGTACTGTATAGAGTTCCTCACTTAACGACCAATCCGTTTAACGACCTGGTCGTAGGAACGGAACTCGGTCGTTAAGTGAGGAATACCTGTATTCTGATTTGGGGTTAATTAACATTTTGGATTGATCGAGAGCTATGTAGTTGTTCAATGATGAAATTCATCCTCAAAAATACAACTTGCCTAATAATTGTGCACACAGTGGACAACTGGGAGATATTACTGGGGCCACTGACACCAATACTGGGGGTTATTATTGCGGCTACAGACACCAATACTGGGGGTTATTATTAGGGACACTGACACCAATACTGGGGGTTATTATTGCGGCCACTGACACCAATACTGAGGGTTATTATTAGGGACACTGACACCAATGCTGGGGGTTATTATTGCGGCCACTGACATCAATACTGGGGGTTATTATTAGGGACACTGACACCAATACTGGGGGTTATTATTGCGGCCACTGACACCAATACTGGGGGTTATTATTGCGGCCACTGACACCAATACTGGGGGTTATTACTAGGGCCACTGACACCAATGCCGGGGGTTATTAGGGCCACTGACACCAATGCTGGGGGTTATTATTGCGGCCACTGACTCCAAGTCGGGGGGTTATTATTGCGGCCACTGACACCAATGCTGGGGGTTATTATTGCGGCCACTGACACCAATACTGGGGGTTATTATTGCGCCCACTGACACCAATACTGGGGGTTATTACTAGGGCCACTGACACCAATGCCGGGGGTTATTAGGGCCACTGACACCAATGCTGGGGGTTATTATTGCGGCCACTGCCACCAAGCCTGGGGGTTATT